GCATACTTGAGTAGTTGAGTAGTTGAAGACTTGAAGTAATGAATTGAGTCTTAACAAGATCAATTGATTGAATTGAATGGTTAAAACTTAAATGGTTTGGTTGTTTATGTGTCCATTTTCTTGTAATTTTGTAGGACAAAAAAATCAAAGAAAGCTGGTTCGCTACCTCCTCGTCCTCGAAGCCCTTCAAAGAAAGGGAAGGCTTCAACTAGTGCACCTTCCACTACGGCAAATCCACCTCCTCCATCTGCAGCAAATCCACCACCTCCATTTGAAGCAAATCCACCTCAATCTGAAGCAAATCCGGTTACTACTACTGGTGTTGCTAGTGAGGTACCTGGTGTGCAAAAGAAAATTGACAAGGGGAAGGGGGGAAGAAGACGTCTAAGTGGTGAATCCCTTATGATGAGGTGCTAGTGGATGACTATTCATTTGAAAAATGCAAATAGTGTGGGAGGCTGATCAAAGCTCATTCTACCAACAATGGGACTACTGGTTTGAAAAACCATCACCTGATGTGCAAGAGGAGGTCGAAGGAATCTAATGGGCAGTCGTTATTAAACTATCAAGCTAGTGGGACTGGTCAGGTAGGCTCTCTTACTCCGTGGATGTTTAATCAGAACAAAGCTAGACATGCATTAGCTATCATGATAATCTTGGATAAGCTTTCGTTTCGATTTGTTGAACAGGAAGGATTTAGGAGATTTATGGCAGTAACTCAATCTTTGTTTGTGATTACTGGAAGGCAAATAATAAGATCTGATTGTTATGTCATTTTTTCTGGAGAAGTGCAAAGGAAGACTTGTATATGCAGCTTCCAATCATGTTGAGTTTTTTTAACTCAAAGTGCAAAGGAAGGATTTCTATCACTACATATACATGGACTAGTGATAATAACCAGAATTATATGTGTGTGACTGCACATTTTATTGGAGATGATTGGAAGCTGCAGAAGAGGATTATGTGTTTTGTTCCCATTACTACTCACACAGGGAGAGATATTGCAGATACTTTGGCAACATGTCTACAAGAATGGAAAGTGAAGAATCTGTTTTGCATGACAATGGATAATGCCACTTCGAATGATGTTCTCGTTGAGTGCATGAGAACAAAAATGAAAGGGTGGGGGTCGGATTTGCTAGATGGGAAGTATCTGTAGTATAGATGTGTGGCACATATAATCAATCTAGTTGTTTCTGATGGATTGAAAGAGGTTGGAGTTATTGTGGAGAGGGTAAGGGATTGTGTGAAATGGGTGAAGTCATCACCCGCTCGGAGTGCAAAGTTCAAGTCTAGCATTGACTACCTAGAGATGGATGGTAGAAGACTTGTGTCTTTGGATGTTCCGACTGGGTGGAATTCCACCTAGTTGATGTTGGATTCTGCAGAGAGGTTTGAGTCGGTGTTTAAGGTCATGTATGATAGTCCTACTGATACTTCCTTTCGAGACTATGTGGACTCCAAGAAGGGTCTTCCATCTGGACAAGATTGGAGCAGCATTAGGCGCCTCATGAAGTACCTGAAGTTCTTTTATGATCTTACTCTTCGTGTATCAAGTATGTGAATGAACTATCAAATTTTAAAATTCATGTCTTAAAGTTAAAGTGAATGATTTCTCACTTATATTTATTCTGTAATTTTTTCTTTGTATCAAGAATAGGATATGTCACTGCACATACTTTCTGCAGAGCCATTGTTGATATTCATCAAGTGATTGCTACTTTGAAGAATGATGTAGATGAACATATACAAAGAATGGCAGAAAGAACAGAGGCAAAGGTAAGAAAGTATTGGTTTGAGAATGATGTTGATGATGAGGAGGATAACCTTAGAATAAATAGGATAGTTTACATGGCCTATGTACTTGATCCAAGGCGTAAACTATACTATCTAACTATGATGTTGGAAGAGATGTATGGAAAGTCAAAAGAGGAAGCTTTGGCAGATCAAGTAAAGAAAGAGATGACACTATTGTTCGAGGTCTACAAGGTGAAGTATGCATCTTCACCCTCTGATTTTGGACCTACTACCCAGACTACTCCTCCTATTGTGACTAGTGTCGAGTCTTCTGTTATGGGAGGTGCATGTGAAGCTCGGTTCCAGCAGAGGAGAAAGGAGCAACTTGAGAGTGGGGGTCAAGTCTCTAGTGAGTTAGAGTCCTATTTGAGAGATGTTGGTAATGTTGTTAATGAGGAAATTGATGATCGGAAGTTTGACATTCTGAAGGGGTGGTCTCGGAACAGTGTTAGATATCCCATTCTTGCAGAGATGGTCAGGGATATATTAGCAGTTCCAGTATCCTCTGTTGCCTTGGAGTCCGCTTTCAGTTGTGGAGGTCGAGTTCTTAGTCCTTTCAGATCTTCTTTGAGCCCAAACATTGTGGAGGCCTTGATTTGAGCTGAAGATTGGATAAGGTATGAAAGTGGAAAGAGTGTAGATGAACTGAATGATAAGGACGAAGATCAGGAGACAATTGAGTTTGATAGTGGTAAGAATTCAATTCATTTTTATAATTTGTATATACTCTTTACTATTAAGCCATTCCATATTTAAATTATTAATATTTTTGTTTTTTATTTGCACTAGTGGCTGATACTTTCCAAGCTTGAGTGCAAACTGCTTGCGAAGTTAGAGCACAGCGCTTACCTGATGAGTTTGTTGAGGAGGAGGAGGAGGAGGAGGAGGATGACGAGGAGACTGAGAGTGATGATAGTGACGATGACAACCCCGAAGTTTCTCTTCTTAGGACTTTGAAGAAGAAAGGTTCTGCTAATGTGGGTGGTGGTGGGACAAGTTCTATCGGAGAAGGAGGAGCATGAGATGCTAGTTTATGCGTTTATTTATGTTGTCTTATTTGGGGACTTAGCTTCTAAGATCCATTTTTATCATTAAGTTTGAAGTTTGAACTTGTGTGAATTTAGATTTTAGACATTGTCATTATGCGCTTTGGTTGATTGACAATTATGTTGATTATCGTTCCTTTCAATTTCAATATTTGATGATGCTTAATGAATTTCAGAATTTGAACTTGTTATAAATCAATTATGGTTTGAAAAATGACAATTGTGATGCTATAAATTATAAAAATTCTAAATATTGTAAATAAGATTTAAGAATTACATTATTGATAACATAAAAATACAGGGAAATAACTCATGAAATTTTTTAAAAATTGACCAGCCTCTCCTCTGCCAACATTCGGTCCGGTTATTTCCCGGTTAACTGAACCGAAATATCGTTTTCCCTCCTTGTCTCGATAATTCGATATAACCGATTATCCGATAATCGCTCAACCGGTTACCGACCGATTACCAGCCCTACTTGTGATTATTTACTACCCAGTACTATTGCCTTGTAAATGTAATTACTACCCAAAACATGTTTAAGTTTAATTAAGTTGACGGTTTATTTGTTCTCTTTTTATTACAACTGTGATTACATTAAGTTTAGGGATACCCGCCACAAACATGACTCGTTGCCATCCCTAGTTTCAGAAGCAGATTAGACAGGGTTAGTGAAAATAAATGGTGAGAAATCTTTTTATTTTTTAATTATTTTTATACCAGGTGGCATCCAGGTCATCAATATTAGGTGACTGGGTATTGACATGTTGGGTTGACCGTTAGTCAATAGGTTTGACTGTTGAACTTAACAGTCAACTCTCGGAATTGTCCAATTTAGCGAAGACTAGGAATAGTTATGGCCACGATGTTATAGATCGATAAGATTGGCCGGCATGTTAAATATGTGAAAAGTTAAAGCCAAGAAAAATATATAACCCTAAAAGAATTTACTCCAAAAAATATCTAAATGGATATCATCTTGTAAAGCAAAAAAAAATCGATTTTCTTATACAAAAAGTTGTGAAATTTTATATAAAACGAATGAGATATAGGACGTAGGATATTTGATAAGTATTTTGACTGCAAGCGTAGAATTCACTATCATCCCAAAATTTTAGTTTAGCCGTCCTAAAATCTACTTTCCCTCTTTACCATTTATGACGTGGACCATGAAATTTCTCCCCAATTACAATCTTTATATATGATTTTATAGATTTAATGAGAGTATAAGAACCTAATACATAGAAAATTGGAGTCGTTATGTACTATTTTTTTTCTCCTAATCGTGTATTTTTCTTATTTATTACTTTCTGGCAGATTGATGAATGTGCATCATCTCTCACTCCAACATTGCCACGCAGGCCTGAAGCCTTGAGTCTAGATACCAATTTGGCGCCGGAGGAGCCCAGGAGTTGGGCTGGATCGATAAAATACGAATATAGCTAACCCAAGTTATGGCTGGGTCTAATGATGGCTGGTTTGGTTCGGGAAATACCGCCCAGTCGAATTAGTTTCATTGGTCAGTACCCCCAGCCAAGACACAACAAAATAAATCTGAAGGACTATGTGTCAAGTCAAAATGAAGTATATTGCAATTGAATTTTACAATGCTATATAGTATTGTTGCTATAGGGTTTTGTTTTTATGGTACAATTTAAAATTGTACATTTACGTTATGATATAACTTCATATTGTACCTATACTTTTTGTACAAATTTTTTTACGGTACAACTTTAACTTGTACCTTTATGTGTTGGTACAACTTCAAGTTGTAAAGTTGTACCATAACATAATGGTACAAATTGCTTTATGGTGCAACCTAAACTTATACATTTAATGTTATGGTACAACTTTAAGTTGTACATTAAAGCACCAATACTATATAGCATAGTAGAAGTGCTCATGTGGGAATGTGCAATGAGTACAAGTTGATGAGAAAGACGCTGTACTTAACCACTTCCTTACACGCCCCCTCAAACGAAAGCCAACTCATGGGCTTGAAGTTTGCACAGGCCCGCCATACCATGTGCTTGAAAGACAACGGTTAATATTGGGGGTCGTGAGGACTTGAACACGTGACCTCAAGAACAAACCAGCTCTGATACCATGTCACAAACCAATTGGTCCCAATAACTCGAGTTGTTGGGAGAAGGTTATGTTGCATTTTATACAAGCCCATGTATGGTACTTAACCACTTCCTTACATCATATAACAAAAAATCCATGGCACACAAAGAAAACCAGTTGATATATATGGAGCAAAATTATTGTTCAATAACACATCAGCACACATAACAACCAAAAGAAACATAACTTGCCCAACCGTTTTCCTTCTTCCCCCTAGGATAGTTCTAGCATACATAGATAGATCGATATCAGTTTAGCCATCTGCAACTTGTTCCAAATCAAAAAAAATGAAATAGGAAAAAATAAACTTGTGTGCTTAGATGAAGCTTCTTATGCTGCAATATTATGACGTTTCCATGCATTGTAGCAGATGGAAGTGTTGGGCCACAGCACAGGTCATGGCAGCCATCCTGGCATGTAGTTATTCACACTGGGACCGGCCGTTGCTACTGTCAAATCCGTTAGTGTTGGATCTGGCTGATATCTGCACTCAAAACATTTCACCAATAAGCTTATGATGTTCATGCGCAAGTAAGCAGCTAGTAACAACGTCAACATGGACTGATTCATCCTTTCGGGGTTAGAATAGACAATTCGCCGATTTACAACAAACAATTATGTTTCCATGAAGTGTACTTGCTCTACGGACATTAATGAAAGTTCATGTGTTGTGTTTTCGTGATGATAAATCTATCTAGAGGATTAGGCCAAATGTGGGATTAGTTTTACTTTATTAGACCTACCATCATCCTGCCGCCCACTATAACTAGAAGTTGTAAAGAAATGCATTAGGAAACCAAAGAGGGATTGAGGGTTAAGAAAGGGAGTTTGAGAGCATTAATTAATTGCGTACCCAATCTGTAAAGTGGGTTCGCAGTCCAAGGGATGAAAAAAGCCATCACCCTGCGGCTGATGATGGGCTTGGTGTCTGCCATAGTCTTCTGGACCAGGGTTCAACTGCAGCGTGTTGCTTATTTGGTACCCTTCCATCAGCTGCCAAATCATGTACAAAAATGAATAAGAAATAAAAATCATTTTCTTCACTTGATGGGTGATTGATTATAGTACAAGTGATTGATGAGAGAATTCCATATAGGATTCGGATTCTAGCGTCTCCAAAACTATGACCTACAGTGCCGAACTTAAGGTCACCTACCCTTTGTTTCAGGGTCTTATTTGCCTCATTCAGCAAGTGTTCCTGCACATGACAAACCCATTTTGCTAAACAAATAGCTAGGATCAAGGGCAGAATGAAAGAAACAGCAGTAGATATCTTTAGAGAAAGTCTTGCGTTGTATACATTACCTTGCGCTGTAAATCAGTGAGCTGGTCCAACATGTACTGGGTCTGTAAATACAGTAAAACAAGAAGAAAAAGTGAGATTCCAATTGTGAATATACCACAGAGAGGAGATATGTTACTTGAATCTATATTTCCCATTACATACTCTTGTAGATCTGATCTGCTTCAGTGACATGTCAAGCTGCCTTTCAAGTGACTCGAGTTCCTTAGTGCTTAGAGGCCCTAGGTCTTCTCCGAGCAAGTTCCTAAAGTATGAAAAGGGGGGAAGCTACCACCATGAGTCCATTTCCAAGGTTTACCTTACAAATAAAATTGATATGTACCTATCTCAAAGTAATTCGCCAGAGATAGTAAACATGCAAGTCATCACAGGTCTGAGATGATTCGATCCACATCAGATAGAGCTGAACCAAACTTACTTGGCTAAAAACTGAAATGATTGAAGTATAACATACACCATTTTCTCCACTCCCAAATTCAATACATTTTTAGTTTGATTTAATCATTTTCATGGATCAATGTAACAGAAAAGAACAAGATAAACTGATATCAAACCAAACCCGGTCACCTTTGATCCTCAGTTGTTGTTTTGATATGATCCAAGTCATTTCAATTCATGACCGAACCGGATCATGCAGCCCACCCTCCACGTGAGTTTAATTAGGGAAAACATGAAGGCGTATTAATGATCAACTATTTTGGTGGCTCACCTTTGAGACCTTTGCAGCGCCTCATAGCGGGCTTTAAGCTTCAGATACTCCTGCTGACTGCTTATCTCCTGTTGTCCATTGGCCCAGAAAGAAGAGGAAGTTCAAAAAAGCATTAAATAACGATGCAACTCAAGATTAAATTAAGACTGATTGATGTTCAATGAGGGAGAAACATTTTACCAGGGCTTCCCTAGCTGAGACAGTGGATTCTGGTGCTCCATAATTACATTTCTGGTACCTCTCCAAGGTTTTGAGCATGCTGAACAAACCAAGAGGACAATTGTGGTTATGTGCCTAGCACCATGAATTAATCTTTAATCAAAAGACACATAAATGAGTTACCATTTCCAACTAAACAAAGCAAATACTAAACAAAACTAGGCTGCACAGTTTACCATTTGCAACTAGACAAAGCAAATATTTTACAAATACTAGTAGGGGTGAACAAATACACCCGCAAACCGACCCACCCGTCCAACCCGACCCAACCCACCCGTATTTATCGCTATAACTAAGGTTTTGGGTTGGGTGAGGGTTTTCTTTTGTACAACCCGCCTCTTTTGGGTTGGGTTTGGATTTTGGATTACACAACCCGTAGAACCCGACCCAACCCGTGTTCCAACTATTTATATGAGTTCGTATCCAAAAAATATTTATGTCGTACATAGTAATACTTATGAGAAAATTAAGATATTTCGCTATGTTTTTCTCACATGGTCTCTCTAATCTAATGCATTTTTTGGGTTAAAGTTTAGACATAGATTTAATATAGCTATGATTCACGTAATCCTTTTTCTTATATACAATTTTAATAGAATAAACATATTATGGATGCGTGCGTTAATAACATTTTTAGCCTATTTCAACAAATGTCATAAAAAAATAGATATATGTTGAAGTAAATCACATTTTATTAAAATTTAAACAACATTTGTGAATTTTGATAAATTTCACCTCCGTTTATTCGTTTGAAATTTTAATTAGTTATAAAATATTTTTATGGTGTAGACTAATTACATATTTTGTGTTGGGTTGGGTTTTTACTTAAAAATATCGTCAACCCGACCCAACCCAATTAGAGACAAACCGTAGGGTTTTAATTTTTTTGGGTGGGTTTGGGTTTAATATTTCCCAAACCGTAGAGCATGGGTCGGGTGATTAAAATGGCTAAACCCGGACCACCCGACCCATGTACACCCCTAAATACTAGGATGCATGGTTTTACCATTTGCAACTAAACAAAGTAAATGGCGAACAAATACTATGGTGTGATTTACCAATTGCATCTAAACAAAACAAATTATTGAAAGTACTAGGATGGCTTGAACCAAGGATTCCACACAATGATCTCTTTGGGAAAGGATTATACAAACTCATTTGTTTGGATGGACAAATAATTTTTTGGAAAAGGTAAATTTATATTTCTCTTGCTTTCTTGGTGGCTCGAAAGGCCCTTTCTTTGTACCCGATAGCGAGTCGTTCTTTTGATTTTACTGCCTGGTTGAGGCATATGATGTAATGATCTATTCTTTGTTATCAATATATGATTATCTTTTGTCAAAAAAAAAAAAAAAAAAAAAAAAATATTTCTCTTGCTTTTTTTCCAAATTTGCAATCCCCCAATCATTCTTCATTCAAGTTTAACATAGTTATAAGGGAACTTAAACCAAGTTCTTTATTAAGATATATAAAGATAACAAAGCGATACTCATCTCGACAGTGAAACATAAACTATGAATCCATCTAAGGTTTGAGTTTTGATAACACCGCGTATTAAGAAAGAAAATAGTAAGTCAATTTTATAAGACACTATATAATTAATTCAAAAATTAAGTGTTATTAGACTTGGCGAATAATAAATTTCGAGTATTATGATTGATAAGAGAGTAGGAGAAAAGTCATAAATAATGAGTGAGAAATAATGGTGATTATCAAGAGAGAAATAGAAGATATCCCTTGGATATTAGACTGAACCCTAAAAACCATCATTCGACCACCTGTAGTTGTACAACTACTACTGCAACAAGACCCATCCAAATGCATCATATCAATTTCTCAGATCTGAAATTGTGTGCAAAGGAGAGAAAGCGAGAGATCAGAAACATTGAAATCTGATTGTGATGTGAATAAGAGATTAGAAAAAGGGAAATATGAAACGCTAATTAATTAATTAATTAATTATTCTCTTATACCTTGAAAACCCTAAAACAGTCCCATCTCTGCCGCGCTTGCGTGTGGAGAAGGGTTTAATTTTACCGCCGGCGCCCACAAGGAAGCTACTCGAGATCCGACGGAAATATAGAAGCACTTCCGCCATAAAAAACCGGACGAAAGAACAGAAGGAAAAGAAAGATCAAGCAGACCGCAGCCAAAATGTTCTGAATTTCTTCCTCGATTGATAGATTGAAAAGAGATGGAAACTTTCTGGTAAATGAACTAAATTCATTTCCAAACAAACCCAATTAAATAGGTCAACAAATTGCTTGAACCTGCTCTGAGGAAGAAGGCTTGTTTTAGAAACCTAGAGAGCAGCTGCTAAAATCAACAGATGTCTGCAGCTAGCTAGTTTCTTCAACTTACGTGCTGGAAGCTCATGAAAGAAAAGTAAGCAGAGAGGTGGGAAAAGAGGAAAAAAAGAAAGGGTAGTGAGAAAACTGGACTTCGAGTTTGTTTGGATCCTGAGAAAATGCTAAGGAAGGAAGGAATGAAAATTTCAGCTGGTTCATTAAAAAAAGGTAGATCCAAATTAGCTGCGACATGTACATCAGAGAAAAGCCTCCGGAAAAAAACTAGCTACAAGCAGATCGAAGTTTAGTGCTACCAAGTACACAACATATCTATGTTTCTTCCTAATGAGAAAACAGAAACACAGAATTGGAACGTTCATAGATTCAATAAAAGGAAAAAGAAGAGGTCTATGAAACAGTGGTAGGGAAAGCTTCTTTTTTTAAGAAGAAGAAGAAATGGAGGGGCAAAAAATTTGCCTTCCTATAGTGTTTACCAGTTGCAGATTTAACATCAACACATACTAGCAAGACACTCAACCTGCTATAAACGCCGAGACATTCACAGAAACGGCAAACCCAATTCCCTTCCTTTCTCTTCTTCTTCTTCCCCTTTTCCCTCTTTTCAAGACACACCCAGAAACAAAGGAAGCAAAACAGAAAAAGGGTTCATTTCATTTTCTTTTGTTTCTAGCTGTAGATAGCTAGAATGAAGAGAGAGAAAGAGTATGGCTATGGTGGTGAGAAGGGATTGAACTGAATTGATCAAGTTATATTATACCTTGAGCTACTGCAAAACTCATAGAGCTTGCCACGATTGGAGAAGATGATGAGGGCAACTTCAGCATCGCAAAGAACAGAAAGCTCGTAGGCTTTCTTCAAAAGTCCATTCCTTCTCTTTGCAAAGGTTACTTGCCTGTTGATCTTGTTCTCAATCCTCTTCAGCTCAACCCTACCTCTCCCCATTTCGATCTTCTCTTTCCCCTCTCTAAGACCTTAATTCCTTTTTGTTATTTGTTTTTTTTTTTTTTTGTTTCTCTCTGCAGAAGAAGGGCAAAGCTAAGCTAAGCTAAGCAAAAGAAAACTGACATGAAATTCTTTCCCTTCCTTTTGTGGCTTTCTATACTTCTTTCTTCTTGCTTGGTGTGAAGAAGCCTTCTTCTCTCTTTTGTGTTTATATGTGTGCCTTTGGTTTCTTTCCTTCACTACCAACTCCTCTCTCTCTCTCTCTCTCTCTCTCTCTCTCTCTCTCTCTCTCTCTCGCCTTCCTTTGATCACCGTATATATTAGGGTATGAGGATAATATGTACTTTTTATGGACTAGTTTTAGTACCAATATGAGGTGTATATTTTGATAAATGTACGCGATGAAGGTAAAAGTACTCATTTACAAATTGAGTGGTAGAACTTGTTGCTAAAGTTCATTTTGTTATAGACCACATTAGATGTATGGTAGAAGCGGTGGCGAAGGAGGATTGAACTCGTGATTACATGATTAAATGTTTGATTAGCGTAATTTGTCATTTATAGTGTGAATTGTTTCTGTTTTACTAGATTTTTTATGGGTTTGATGTCTGTAAGAGTCCATCATCCTTGTAATCAATCGATTCTCGATTCTTTTGGATAAATAAGTGATAATTTCCTATCACAGAGAGAGTCGGAGACACAAAATTGGTACCCAAGAAATGAAAGCAATACTTTAGAGCCTGTGGAATCGTGAACAGATTAATGGTGAATCCATGCAAAAGCTCCAAGTGATCCATTGTGAATCGATCGAAAAGGATTGGTGAGACCAACATGTTCAATGGAGTTGAAAGATGATAATTTCCACTAGTGTTAGAAATCCATCACCCGAACTCTTGACCCAAACGGCCCATAAGATACCATTTACCTAACATATGAGATTTGAGGGAAGTGGGAAAATAAATGTTACATCAGATCCCTTGTAGCGTTATTACTATGTTCGTATCATTAACAAACACAATTGTAAGTCAAATGACTTGGGGTTAAGTCTGAAAGTTGCATAGCCATTATAAGATTAAGATACCCACTAAAAAGAGCAAAAATAAATTACCCAAGAATTTGTGGCCTAATGTACCGTTAATTTAATTTGAAGCGGAGTTAATTGTATTGTAGGGTGGATAAAACGGACCACTGACTTTGACTTCATTGTGCGTGGCTTGGTGGTTACCGGCAGGCTACCAAGAAGGCCAGAATGGACGTGTTTGATGTGAGGTGACTTCAATCAGACGGTTGCAAACAGATAGAGGTGGCGGGTAAGGATTGGCATGAGTAAAAACATCATGGAGTGGGGTCAGGAATGATGAGGTGTCGAGCGATGAAGTAGTGTGTCGTGGTAGGAAAATAAATCCGCCTATGGAGCTCACAGTTGTTGGGTGGATGTAGTGAAATTCTTGTGTGCGAGCAAAAATAAATTCACCTAGGTGACACCTTAGTCCGTTGATGTGTTCTCGATACCTAACTTGTTGTTGCAATTCTAAGCAAAGCGTTTTGGCATTTTCTTACACCTAAATATGTTAAGCATAAAATTAAACGAACCTTTTATAAGTCACAATAGGTCTATATTCTATATATTCTTCCCACAAATCCTTCACAACTATAAGTACTAGTTATTGGTTCTTGTTTCCTGCTTACAAGAGTTAATCTCATCTTCCAGATTGATAATCCTTGGTGCATTAGGCACCCCAAACCTTATCTTGAGTTCATCCCATAAGGCATTAGCATTACTATGGGTTAATACAGATCTCCTTATATCCTTATGATTTGAATTCAAAATCAAGCATAAGACTAAAGTATCACAAGCATCCCATAACCAAAATCGATCTCAATCCCTAGAAGACATAGGTATAGTATACACCTATATATAAAACTCATCTTATGCTTTGTTTTCAACACAACTTGCATAAATCTACTCTAATTTTTTCCATCGAACAACTCAAAGACTAGAGACACAGACATATTCTCATTTGGGTTCAAGTAGAATGAGTTAACATATGGGATGGTTTCAGTCTGTTATGTCACCTCCTGGTTGAATGAGCCAAATTGAAAACCTCTTCCACTGGATCCATGTACTCCAGATCCTCCTATTCCTCTATCTCCCAATGCTGGTGTTGCATTTCCAGACATGGTGGCTAGCTGCGGTTGGAGAATCCTAGAGTGCTACTTCTCTTATTTATACCATAAAAAATGCAAATAAAACTTGGGAAAAAGGAAGCTCACAGAAGCCGTTGATCCTCTATGTTGCCTTTAAACATGCATAGTTTGATTAAAGAAAAGACCTACACGTGTCCAACTATTACATACCATTATCATAGATAAGTATTTGTTTTTTTACCGATAATAACGACCTGTGTTGTTCTACTGAAAACATGAAATAGATATGGGACGAACATTTTCTTCCTTCCATTCTTTACTCGAATCCTTTCTTCATCTCGATTCCAGCTTCCCTTGTGAGACTATGAGTCTGATACCTTAAGAAGGTTATTTGACACTTAGCCCCCCGATAAACAAAATTTAACATCATTTACTACCGCATTGGTTGCTTACAAGGTGTTGGTAATGAACGGTATACATTGCGGGGCTATGATTTAACACCATGCGTTTATTTGTAAGTGTTATTAATACTCTACTAGTTGTTTGACCCGCGCTACGCAGCGGTAAGTAGCTAGTTATATTTAAAATTTCATCTACTTATTTAATAATATAGTTGAAATCATATAATTCTCAAAACCTTTCAAGTTAGATATGCCCATAGAAAAATTTTACAATGCTATATAGTATTGGTGCTATAGGTTTTTGCCTTTATGGTACAACTTAAAATTGTACATTTACGTTATAGTACAACTTTAGATTGTACCTATACTTTTTGTACAAATTCTTTTATGGTACAACTTGAACTTGTACATTTATGTGATGGTACAACTTCAAGTTGTAAAGTTGTACCATAACATAATGGTACAAATTGCTTTATGGTACAACCTAAACTTATACATTAAATGTTATGGTACAACTTTGAGTTGTACATTAAAGCACCAATGCTATATAGCATAGTAGAAGTGCTCATGCCCATAAGGTTTACAAATGTCTTAACCATTATGAAAGATTTAAGTCATATGTTTGTTTAATTGATACATAAGAAATAATATAACTCAATAAATTTTACGTATGACCTTAATTATCACAAAAGACTTACTTAATACGTTTATTAATTGACATATAAGAAATAATTATTCCTTTATAACATTTATGTAGTGTCTAATCATTATGGAAGATACATAAGAAATAATTATTCCATTTACATTTATATACCTATTTTAGAAGGGTGATACCTTAATCTTATGTAATGTGTGTCTAATAATAAAATTAACTTACAGAAGATTATATTGCTCTGTAAAATTTAATTGATCTTAGAAAATATTTGTGTAATTCAAATTGATAATATGATGAATGGTTTATTAATAATTTAAGAAATTTAGTTAATGATAAAGTAATTATGTGACATAAATTATAATAAGAAATAAATATCTCTCCATAAGATTTATGTAATATATTAATATTAAAGACATACATAATAAGTTTGTTTAATTGATTTATAAAAAATAATAATTGCTCTATAGATTTTACGTAATATATTTATAATTTAATTAACTATTATAAATTGGTGTTGTATAAATTTGTCATAATCTATGGCCTAATTTTACAATCAAGTTAAAAAAGTATCACATCTTATTAATTTTTACAACAAATTGATGAGATGATCAATAATCAAGTAAGAAATAACTACCATCACATAATCTTTGTGTAAAATAAATTGATGAAATGATCAATAATAAAGTTAATAATAAAGAGATTTGGTTCGTTCGAAATTATATTATGGCAGATATACGTAATTAGTTTGTTTATACATAAGAAATATATATCCTTCCAAACCATAAGAAAACCTATTATTCTATAAATAAAAGAATGTAATCATACTGAAAGTTATTCGAAAAAGTAACATAAGAAATAACTATCCTTCTGTAAATCAAGGATTGTGAAATCAATTGGAGAGTATACCAAAAACGTCATTATTAGGGTATTTTATATTGTAATCATGGTTTACTTGTGGTTCAGCCGTTTCATACCGTTAAAATTGCCTACTGGTCTGAAATCTCATAGGCATTTTTATATCCTATCGTACTGGAAGTTATACTGAAAAAGTCACATAAGAAATACGTATCCTTCTATAAATTAAGGATTGTAAAATCTTACTGGAGATTATACCAAAAACGTCAATATTAGGTTTATTTTGTATGGAAGCCATGGTTCAACCGTTTTATGTTGTTAAAACTGACAACCGGTCTGAACTCTCATACGCAATTCTATACTATCGTTTTGGAGGTTATACCAAAAATCACACAAGAAATATCTATCCTTTTGTGAATCAATGATTGTAAAATATACTGGAGATTATACCAAAAATGTCATTTTTAGGGTATTTTTTATAGAAATCATGGTTTAACCTTGGTTTTAACTGTTTTAATTGTTAAATCTCCCTACCGTTATGAACTCTCATAGGCATTTTTTATAGACTATCACACTGTAGTTTATACCGAAAAAATCACATAAGAGATACCTATCATACTATAAATCAATGATTGTAAAATCGTAATGGAGAAGATACCGAAAACGTCAATATTAGGGTATTCTGTGTTGAAGGCATGGTTTAACTGTGGTTCAACCATTTTATAGCGTTAAGACTGCCTACTGGTTTAAACTCTCGTAGGCATTTTTATACCTATCGTACATAAGGTTATATAAAAAAAATCATAAAAGTACCTATCCGTCTATAAATCAAGGATTGCAAAATCGTAATGGAGATTATACTGAAATGTGAGTATTAGGGTATTTGCTATTGAAATCATTGTTTAATTGTGGTTCAACCATTTTAAACTTGCGTACCAGTCTAGACTCTCGTAGCCATGGATTAATTGTGGTTCAATCATTTTATAGCGTTAAAAAGTTCTATCGGGATTAATTGTGGTTCAATCATTTTATAGCGTTAAAAAGTTCTATCGGTCTAAACTCTCGTATGCCTTTTTTATACCCTATTGTACATGAGGTTATATCCAAAAAATCATATAAGAAATACATATCCTTCTATAAATCAAGTATTGCAAAATCGTATTGGAGATTGTATCGAAAACATGAGTATTCGGGTATCTTGTATTGAAAGCATGGTTT